CTCCTCATCCGCTTTGGAACTCGCTGTTGGTGCGGCTTGTTCTCGCATACCCCGACATTCGCTGCGATGGTGTAACTAAAATTCCAGCGTCGAGATGGTCTCATATCACGAAGTACCTCCGCTCATGCTCGACCTCGTGGGCCATGGCGTACCTGGAAACTGTTGCCAATGGCTGGACGAGATCAACCCGCATACTTGGTGATCGTGGGCGCCTCCCATGCCGCTTTGGATGCGACGACGCCGCGGATCAGCTCAAGCATTACCTCTCGTGCCCGAAGTTCCGCGCCATTTGTGAGGAGGCTATTGGCTTCTCTCGACCTGCCCACCCTCTTGGTCGTCTTGGCCTCTTCGGCTCCACAGTGGATATCAGAAGGATCGTCTTCGACATCGCGGTGATGCGCTTCACCTACCACGCGGCGTCCCATGCTGCCCCTGCTGGTACCTGGTCCCCAACATTCGTTCGATCTCATGTCCTGGCGGCTATTCGTACCGTTTCTCTTGGCGCGCGGCGTCCTGGCCAACTTCCGTGGAGACGGTCCTCGCCGCCGTTTGCGTGTCGCAAACGGGCGGTCACATCTTCTTCGTCGTCTTCTTCCTCCTCGTCTTCTTCGCCGCCGTCTTCTACAACCTCAAGCAGTGGCGAAGACTCATCAGACAGTGGGTGTACGTCCTCTTGGCTGCCGTGCCTGAGGATCATCGGTGACGCGTTCGACCTCGTGGTGGGAGACCCGGCTGCTGATCCGGAGGCTGTCGGCACGCATAGCGCGTCATCGCCTGGGGGTGGGCCAGCACTGGGGGCTTCGGCAGGCAGAGAGTACCGCGCCCCGCTGCCCTGCCTCATCAGGCATTGCTGATGTGCAATACCGACCGTCAGTCTCTACTGTGGGCCAGGCTACTTCTATTGAGGTGGTTGATCTTGCGTCGCATCCGCCATCACCTTTCTCGGAGCGCACTCCGCGGCAGGAAGCCGAGGGGCGGCGGAGAGAACTCACCAATCGGGCCACCAATTGGTCATCCTCTTGGCTTCCATCCATCTTCTACGCCGCGCCCCAAAGCGACTTCAACACGTGGCTGGACTGGTGTGTGGACTACGCCTACGGAGTGCTTCACTATCGTGGCTTTGCTCCCTTGTTCGCAAATCGCAGGACCAACCTGGCTAAGACTATGAAGAGAGCAGCTGACGAAGTTTGCATGGCGGGCTGGCATGGTTCTGCTATCTTTCGCGAGAGGCTACGTCAACAACTTCTGCGGGGCATACCTCACAATGATCCTGTTGCTCTTCACGCGGCTTGTGAGAAGCTTCTTTTGCACTGAGAAATGCTTGAGTGGCGTCCTGATCCGTCTCGGATGGAGGCTCCAAATCGTACGCGCTTTCTTCAATGGGTCTCGACTGCTACGACCTGGCGTGCAACTCCTGTGCCATCATCGCTACCTGCGCTCAACCCCCTGGTTTGGTTCCACAACTTCACGCTTGAACAGATGGACGTCGATCCATTGAAGCCCAATCTTCGATCTAGGCCGTCAGCAGAAACCTCTGAGGATTACGAATATCCCCCTGACGATGACGCAGCCGCCCACACTGACTACCCTTCGCCCACGGACGGGGACCTCCGCATCATGGATGCCATGAATGACAGCGCTGCGGTGATCGACAGGGGCCCTCCGCCTCCATTCGAGGACGAAATCATAAGTGACGACGAGTACGACTACCATTTCGGTCCGAGGGCCAAGCCACCAGAAGCACGGCAAGCTCAACCACCATCATCACCGCATACACTGCCGTCGCGACCCCCAGTAAGCTCTGATGGACCCCCGCCGCCTGGTGCTGATGCTGATGTTCTTGCCTGGTTGGACCCCGCTCGCGTTTCGAACTCTGATACCCCTGCGGTGCCGTCGCCACCTCAGGCCTGTCCACCTCCTCCGCAACTTCCTGGTCGTCACGGGATTAGTACACTGCCACAGGACGAGACAGGGGAGTCCAAGGATGGTCTGGACAACGGCACAGTGACGCCTCCGGTTGTTCCTCTCCCTACATTGGCGCAGTCCTCTTCCCCTACCGAGTCGCAGGCTGATGGCCCTGATGTTGCCTCCGCCTCTGCTGCGGCATCGTCAGCGTCTGGGCGTCTTCCTGTTCACCATGGCAGTTTAGAACCCGAGGTTCAGCATCATCCTGATCTTCCTCGGCCTCCTGGTGATCATAGACAGCTGCTCCGTCCTCGTCTGCCGCCTCGTGGGGTTCCCAGAGAGCTTCTCCATCCTCGCTTCCTTCCTCGTGAGCGCGCTGCTGGCCAAGGGAGTGAGTTGGGCCCCCAGGCTGCTAACACTGGGCCTGGGGTTTGGAACGAGTCGCCACAGTGGGAATCAGTTCCGCAAAACACATTAGACGCGATCAACTTGCTGATCCCCCACATCCTCCCGCCATCTACTGCGACCTCGTCGGCGACGCCTTCTTCGACGTCCCCGCCAGCTGCTCCATCCACCGGGGCCCCTAAGCATCCTGGCCACCCTGATGCTCTTGAGCCTGATCAACTTCGCCAGGCGCTGCTAATGCTCCACACCCTCTTCCCTGCCCTCACAGAGGACAAAGAGGGCCTGATCACTTGGCTCCTTCTGCACCCTGCCAACCTGATTGAGGAAGACCCGACCAGCGCGGCGAATGTGGAAATCGCCTTCCACGACGAGCAGCCTGGAGTTCCTGATGACGATCTACCCGTGGAGGCGGAGGATCCAGTGTTCCTCCCGCTGATCCATGAAGTGGACAACTGGCCGGCGGACTGGGAGATCCTCTTCCTCCTCCTCCTCCTGCTCCTCCTCCTCCTCCTCCTCCTGCTCCTCCTCCTCCTCCTGCTGGGAGATTTGTTGGGTTCTCGTGGGAGGAGGGGGAGGAGGAGGAGCGGGCCAACCGCTTTGCTTCGAAATTTTGCGAACGGCTTTACTATTTTAAAATATTTCCAATATTTTTTCTGATCCTCACCATTGTTTAACTATTTTTCATTTCTCAATATATTTTTAACTATTTTTCACTATGTGTCATAATTTTCGTTATTTTTCAATAGTGTGCAATATTTTTCATTTTTTTTCATTATTTTTCATTTTTCCATGCTATATGTTGATACAATCCTATAGAAACCTATAGGACGATATAGCTTTCTATAGTCTTCGCGTTCATCAAAGGGGGGAGAAGGAGAGCGGCGGCGATGCACGGAATCCGCTGCACGCGGCCGTTGCTGGCCCCCCTCGGCCGGGCGCGTTTTCCTTTGACCCGAGGGGCGCCTGCGGCGCCGGGAGGCGCCGGGAATCGTGGGGAATCGTGGGCCCTGGGGGAGGGGGGTCAGTGCAAACGGGGGTCGGCCAGAGCGCCGGATGCTGCAGGATCCTGCAGCGCCAGGGGTGCACTGACCCAGACCAGCGTGCAGGATCCTGCTGGATCCTGCAGGATCTCGCAGGATCCTGCAAGGCCTGACTGGCCCGAGTTCGCATTGCCCCGAGGCCAATCCCGAGGCCAATTTGCGACCCCCCCTTTTCTCGACCACACGTAACAGTGACCCTTGCTGAGGTGACCTTTGCTGCGGGCTCAAAGGGGTCCCCCGATCGCTGAACGCGAAGTGGTAGTGTCCCCCTTCAGCCGCGCGCCAAAGGTCATTATTGCCTAGCTTCACTCGTGCGTGTAGCCGGCATGCTGTTCGATACACTGGCGCCTGCGGCGCCAGGAGGCGCCGGGAAATCAGATAGATACGCGGGCCAACTCGCGCCCCCCCTTTACAGCCGAACAGTTTGTTAAGAACAGTCGTTCAATGACGAACCAACAACACACACCCATACCCATAGGGAGGTCGGAGAGGGCTATGGGTGCGTGTTGTCGGACGGGTGTCCCCGCTCGAACGGGAGCAATCCCTCGGGGCCCGACAACCCGCATCCATACCCATAGCCAGCCCTCCTCCCAACGACCCCCCAATGGGTATGGGTGTGTGTTGTTAGTTCGTCATTCAAGAAACCTGGGCCAGCTACCCGAATGTTCTCTGAGCCAAACCTGGGCCAGTCTCTGTTGTTAACGCTGGAGGGGCGAACGTGCTCAAGAAACTGGGCCAGCTTTCCAGCAATTGGTTGAGAAACGCTGGCACAGCTTCTGGGGAGGAGGTTTCTTAGCCAGATGCTCGACTTAATACCGCTCCTTTGGTCCGACCCGACCCTCCCTCCACCATCTTCTCGCCCCAAGGCGTATGTGTGTGGCCGGAGGGGAGCTTGAAATGCGAGGGTGACGTCACGGATGCGGATGGTTTGCTAGGGGTCAGTTACGCCGCGCCCGAATCATCCCACATTCCTTGAGGCTCGTCTTGTCTGCATGTGATGCAGCCCAGTCATCTGCGATCTGATCCGTTCCGATCCACTTGCATCTGCACTCTCGACTTGCGGAGGGCCACCGAGTCCATCAGGTACACATGGAGGACCACTGTAATTGGTGGTCCGCTGGTGCAGCGGGGCCATCTCGCTCTGTGCCTTCTGATGTTGCCTCAGTCGTGCTGTCACCTTTGAGACAAAACTTGCAGCCATCACAGGAGGCGACATGAAGAAGGGAGGCTCGTGGTCATTTGGAAATCTCGAGCTCCGCCAGGACGAATCATTTCGCCTCGATCTCGAGGGCAGCAGACAGCCGTCGGAATAGCATGCTGCACGCCAGTGACCCCAACATCCAATCAGAACCTGTCCCGAGCCTCGAGTTACTCATGATCCCGTCGTGGACGATCATGGCCGATCGAGCTCCGTGCTCACTGTTGGTGACTATTCGCGTTTCAGGGTCTATAGTCTACAGATGGGGCCGCGCATCAAGCACCAAAAGTGTTTCGCCAGGCTATCTCCAACTTTTTCGCTCCGTGCGCTGCTCGATGTTCCGCCCCCGGTTGAGCCCCCCGCGCGGATTTTCGGGGTTGGGTTTTCCTGCGAGGGTTTTCTTGCGGTCGCGTCCGCGCTGTACCGCCGTGTGGTCAAGGTGCGAGGGAAAGGAGAAGAAGAACAAGGAAATCTCGGCCGGCACTGAGCTGCTGCTCAGCTTCAACGGCTCCCAGGCGCACCGCCCCAGGGTGAAGTAGGTAGGAACCCCCGCGGGTGCGGAAAGGGAACGCGCGGCCTGCGCTGGGAGGGCCAAGGATGCACTTTTCTACAAGCTCGAGAGTTCGCCCCGTGGCTGCAGGGAGAAGAAGGGGAATGCGGCAGGGGAGGGGAGAGCAATCAGATTGAGTAGCAGACACGAGCCTGTCGGCAGGCGCCCCACGGAAAATCCCCATCCCCCTGTGCCCTCAGGGGATCCACAGGAGCTCAAGGTTGCTTAGGGCATGCGGCGATCGGAGAAGAATGTGTCTCAAGCTGTCTCGCAGCAAGATTTTCTCCGGTGGGGGCGTTGGGTAAGGAATGCGCCCAGGAGGCGCCAGACCCTGGAGGATACGGTATCGGATGAGGGCGGCGGTGACATCCATAGCCAATCCACGACTGGAGTTCCACCGGCTTCCGGCCGCTGGCTTCCTTGTCCAGTGGCTCCTTGCCCACGACTCTCACCATAGCGTACGTGTCTGCTGCAGGCCACGACAGAGCCTCCCGCATGCGCAGACTTCGACTGGCCGCTGGCGGCCTGCGCACGCCGCCGTCGGGGCCCCTCCCGCCCCCCGCCCTCCGCGGGCCCCAGAGGCCCGGCGCCCGCTCTCCGCCCGAGCCGATTGTACGACGCGTGCGCCCAGGGACGGCATCCCCCGGGCTGGCCCTCCCTCCAATTCCGCAAGCTCCCGATCCATCGGCAACGCGTTCACCTTGTTCGTGTCCAATTCTTCGAGAAGGCTTTGATTTTCTGGGGGGCCAAGATCCTCTCCTTTCTAATTGTTCCATCCTGGGCCTCTTTCCTGGCCACTGGGGGGCCAGGAACAATGTGAAACGAGCACAGTTAGAAACGAGCACGACTAGAAATGAGCGACGTGTACGGGTGACCCTTCGCCAGAGCGACCTTAGGTACGGGTTCACTGGGGTCCCCCGATCGCGGAGCGCGATGCGAGCATGGCTGCTTGCGCGCTCAGATTCGGCCATTCTGCGCCCCCGTAACCCGCGCACCAAGTTGCTCTCTTGCCTGGGGCCACTTGTTGAGTCTTGCCGAATCGAGATTGAAGCTCGCCGCTGGCGCTCGGCCTTTCTGGCAACGGGTTCCCCTTGCAGCCCACCCCGGTTGGGCTCGCGAACAGGCGGGGTCGGAAGGTCCCGCGCCGCGCGGCAGGCGTCTCCGTGATGCGGCTCGATGTAGGGCGCGATTCTCTCCAACCGACGGCACCGATGCATCGGCGATGCGGAACGATCCTCCGACCCCACCCGCTCTGACCCCTTTTGCAGGGTCAACGTTGGAGGGGATGGGCTCAATGGGGAACGCATCGACCCCAAATCGCCCACTGCTCGCCCATGGAGACCCGGTCACCCCACCCCGCCCAGAAAGATGCACTCCCTTGGCGGCGCCTGCGGCGCCGCCCCTCCCCGGCTCCGCGAGCTGGGGAGGGAGGCCCAGCGCCGACACAGCAAATCCGCGTGGAATTAATCGGTTCAGTTGGTTGTCCCCCACATCCGAAGTATGGGGTTGATATTCATGTGACGCCTCCTTCTCTCACTTCTCCTCTTCATTCCACTGACCTTCTCCCCCTCACCTCTCCAATTTACTCACTCACTCACTCACACTCAGGCATTCTCAATGTCTGACTCGCTCACACTCTGAACCACTCATGGTCACACTGCCAGACGCACTCTCACCCGGCTCCACTGATGCTCAGAAGTCTATCACATTGAGATCCAGTGACGCTCAGACTCGCTCATACCCAGACTCACTTATGCCCAGAGCAGTCTGACCCAGACCCGCTCGTAGCCAGCCAAGCCATACCCGTAGTCAGACACAGTACCGCTCACTGCATGATCATCCACACTCAGGCCTGCGCGTGCTCAGCCTCACACGCAGAAACACATCTTCCCACACTCTGCCACTTGTACTCACGCCCGCTCGTACTTGCTCACCAGGCTCAGGCTCACTGGTCACCGCCGTGGTAAGGAACGCGTGGCATCTGGGCAGCCCACTTGGGAGCCAGGAGGAGGAGGAGGAGGAGGAGGAGGAGGAGGAGGAAAAGGAGGAGGAAAAGGAGGAGGAAGAGGAGGAGGAACAGGAGGAGGGGGAGGAGGAGGAGGAGGAGGAGGAGGAGAAGGAGGAGGACGGGGGGGAAGGGGAGGGACCCGTTCACGTTCAGATCATGGGGATATTTTAGGCGGTTGACCCAGTTCGGCGTCTCCGACTCCTCCTCTCTTTTTTGAGAGCGTCACGACCATCGCGATTTCAGCAGGGCTGGTGATTGGGCGCCCGAAAAAGGGAGCCGCCAGAGTTGGTCCAATTGTTCCGTTTGCGCCAAGCTGGCGGTGGTGTCTCAGACGGTGGTTGGTTGGGCTCTCCACTGCTCCCTTGAAAAGTTCCAGTCTCGCCGCGTTAAAGCAGTCCTGGCACTTGGGCATCCCAAGGGAGAGCCACCTGGAGGTGGTTCATATCCTCGTTCGCGCCCAGACCACTGGGATGTAGCAGGCGCCTTGCCTGTTTCGGCGCCCCTGCATCCTTTCGCTTGCGAGCCCCATTGCCACCGCCGCGTAGCAGGCATTGAATTTGGGCTCATTCATGGGGATGCCACCAAGGGGGGTGACACTTGCCCGTTTGCGCCCAGCTTGTGAGCATGTCTCTGGCGATGTCCTCGCTGGGTGGGCCAGACCCCATCCTTCTGAGAGGTCCATGATCACGGCGACACAGTAGGCGTGGCTTTGGGGCATTCCCAGTTTGATCCGCCAGTGAGGGGACCTTTGCGAGTTCGCGGCCAGATTGTGTAAATGGCGGGAGATCTCGAGTGAATCCGCTCGTCTGGCGCCCCGGGCCTTTCAATCTTGAAAGCCTCAGGACCACTACGAGAAGACAGGATTGTTGAGATGCCTCGAGCGGTTCCCTGGTTTTGGCACCCCCGATTCATCTCCATTCAGAACCGCGTGATCAGGATGCAGTACAGTCAACCCGCATGGTAAGGATGGGCAACAGCGTTCCCAAGGGTACTCTTGCATCCTTTCCTCCTCGACTCGTCCTTGGCCACCTTCGTTTGCCGCGCCTGGCTCGAGAAGCTTCGAAACGGCTCTCCAATGCCCTTTGCATCCTTCTCGCGTATCCTTATGATGCGGGTTGTCTGCACCCGTGCCACGTTTGCAACCCAAGGGGGAGCCGCCGTGCGGCGTCGCACTTGCCAATTGGCGCCAAGGGGCCTCGCAAGGGAATCGCTGGGTGAGGCACTCCCGTCCCCCAGTCGCTGCAGAGCCCCAGGATCATCCCAGCGCCACAGGCGCTGCATTTGGGCGCGCTCAGCCGCCGCAGGCCAGGGTGCTCACGCAGACAATCGCAGGCGGACGTGCCAGGCAGTGCGATGCACACATGGAGACCTCGGCGTCGAGTACTCATTACAACGCGTCCCGGGCTGGGTCCCGTGGCACTGTTCCCAGCCGTCCCCGTTCGCCAGCTGCCGCTGGTTTCGGTCCTGTCCCTGACTTGCCCCTCCTCACGCTCCCTTCTCCAGTGCCATGCAGCTGCTTTGCCTACAACGCAGTTTCATCACACGTTATCGCCGTCATGGTTGATTCAGGTATCGAGCTGGTGCCGTGGCCCTTGTCGTTGATGAGTTTTGCGCGTGGCTTCTGCAGAAGAACTCCGCAGCGGGGGTACAGTAGGTTCGCGTCGCGTCGACGCGGCGGCGACCACGTCGCAGGCGTTCAAGGTCGATCGCCACCGGTGGCCCTGAATGGACCGACCTCGAACGATCCGCCAGCCGTCACGACACAAACCTGCCCGCCTGGCAGCTCCGATGCACGCCTGGCAGCGCGAGCACAACTTCTGCATTCTGCTGGCCATTGGGGTCGTGGTGATGCTGGCCAGGGTTGAAGTCGGGCATACCCCTCTACAGGAGGAATATGCAAACATAGTCCAAACACCGTCTGGGGACGATTTTCCGACTAGGTTTGGCCGTTTTTGGATACGTCCTGGCATTCTGAATGTTTCATCGACAATCCGTCTGTAGGAGGACGTGCGCGACCTGAGCCAAGGTGGGTGGCGCTGTGTGGGCCGCCGCGCGGCAGTGCCCTGGTGGAAGTCGTGCCCGTGGCCCGTCTGCCAGGGCTGCGGACCACGACCTCAGAAGCCGGGCGCAGGCTGGGAAACCCGTGGCTGCCAAAACAGAGCTCCGAGAAATTCTTGGTTTTCTTCCGGGAAGCATGCAGCCCGTTTACTATTTCGTGCGCCGAGCTTGATTCCGGGAATATGTTTTTTCTTCGGGGAAGGCCGTTTTAGCAGCTACGGATTTGCCAGCCCTCGCCCAGCTTCCAAGTGTCAGTGGCAGTGGCCATGCGCTGATCGATGTTGGGTCGTTCCGGAAGGAAGCGCGGGGCGCGAAAGGTCAAGGTCGAGGTCAAGCCTGTTTGCCCGCGAAGGGGCGGCCGCTTAGGGCACAGGCGGGTGACAACTAGCAGACGCTCATGTGGTGAAGAAAATGTCCTGTCGTACAATTTCAATGAATGTGGGTCTTTGGCTGCTGCTGTCCAGTCGCCGATCCCGTCGCGCGCCGCGCAACAGTGGTATAATCCAGTCCGCACGCACGCCCCGTCAGATACGGGTCGACGTTCGCGTGGCGGTGCTCCGACGTAACTCCGATGTACATACGACGCTCCGACGTGCACCCAGCGTACATCCGACGTGCATCCGACGTAGATTGGGTCGCAAGTTGCCGCGCGAGGCCTCCAGGATTTTCCTCGGACCACAACAGTCAAACCGCACGGTCAGGATATGGGCCACCTTCCCAAGGGGCACCCCTTGCATTCTTGCCTCCTCGGTTCATCCTCGGCCACTCTTGCTGGCAGCGCCCCGCTCGGCACTTCCGATGCCATTCGCATCCTTACTGTGCAGCCTTCCTACACGGGCCAACTGCACACTGGTGTCATTCGGTGGCACGCCGCGGGGGGAAGTGAGAGAAGTCGGGCCTTCCCGTAATTCGGCGGGGCCTATCAGAAATCCTCGGGCCGTTTGGGGAGTCCTCCCGTGGCCTCGCATGAGGCTCAGAGAGCTCCTCGGCAGGGGCCTTGCCGACCTTCCTGAGAAGGCCCGCCCCCTCTGCCTCCCCCCCGGGCAGGGCCGCCTGCGATCCGAGTCTATGCGATTCGATTGGCCGGCTGGGCCCGCGATTCCGAATCGATTCGATGTGGTTCGACTCCATGCTTCAGGAGGAAAAAAACACACAGACACAATTAATCCTCGATTTCCCAGAAAATATGGGAAAATATGGGAAGTGGGGGGGAAGACAGAAACCCAGAAAATATAGGAAAATATGGGGAATAGTTTTATTTGTGTGTATTTTTTTTTGTGTCCTGGGGCCCCTTCAATGCTGTCGGCCAGGGCCACTCAGAGCCCGGCGCGGTGATGCCTTTTCGATCCGACAGAGGACCATCCACTGGCGATCCGATCCGTTCCCGCTCCGATCCGATCTTGCGATTCGATGCGGCTCGGGCCTGCAGGGAGCATCGCCGACGGAGACGGCCGCGAGGAGCCCTCGCGGTGAAAAGCGGTGGTTGCCGCGGCCGCCTGGCACCTTGGCGCCGTTGGCGTCTGTGCAGGGCGGCCAGCCTCGATCGGGCGCCGGCTGGAGGCGGGGCGGCGAATCCCAGAGATCAATGGTCAACAATAGTATGGGGACGATTTTGTGATTATTTTTGAGCATTTCACTACTATGCTTAATTTTCCTGTCAAGAACTGCCTGTAGGAGGACATGCCCGACCTAAGCCTAGAGATCAGTGGGCCGCTTGTGCGTCAACCGGCGGCCACCAAACGGCATGGTGACCCCACCGTGCGGTGAGTCAGTGGGTATTCAGGGCGACCGCTCGGTTTTAGGACCCTGGGCGACACCGCGCGGGGACTGACCGTGCGGCGAGATATGCGTGGGCTCCTAGGTCGCCACGTGGTCTTGGAAACCCCGAAGCAAGGCCGCCCGCCTCCCTCTCTGGCTCCTGTCATCCTCCTATATGCTCTATGCTCTATCCTCCTCCTCCTCCATGCTCTATCCTCCTCCTCTATCTATCCTGTCATCTCTCTCTCCTCCTCTATGCTCTATCCTCCTGTATGCTCTATCCCCATCCCTCTCTCCTCCTCTCTGGCTCCTATCATCCCTCTATGCTCTATCCTCGTCCTCCTCCTCCTCCTCCTCCTCCTCCTCCTCCTCCTCCTCCACCTCCTCTATGCTCTATCCTCCTCCTCCTCTATCCTGTCATCCCTCTCTCCTCCTCTATGCTCCATCCTCCTCCTCCTCCTCCTCCTCCTCCGTGCCCTGAGGCTCCCTCCATGCCCCGTCGGCGGCGCTGGGCCGTGCAGGCGCTGATGACGAGAGACGAGCGTTCCCCCCAGCTCGTCGTTCGCTCCTCCCCCTCCTTCTCCTCCTCATCCTCCTCCTTCTTCTCCTCCATACCTTGTCCTTATACATAACTTCTCCCTGTCGCACCCCGAAGCCACTTGTTAGGACGACCCAGGCGTTTCACCTGACACTTCCTCACCATTCATGACCATGAAGCTTAAACGCTTGCAACAACTTCACAGATGGAGGGCGGGTGGTTTTCAAAATTCTAGACGCTTCGCGTATCCCCACCAGCCCGTCCAGAAACGACGCCCAGGCGAGTAGAGGGTCGTCCTGAGGGGCTGTTCGGCGTCTTGGGTGCCTCGGGGTGGCCTCTGTGGGCCGTTCGGGATCCTCTGTGGGGGCCTCCTGGGGGCCTCTTGGGGCCTCTTGGGGCCATCTTGGGGCCTTTGGGGGCCTCCTGGGCGCTTCTTGGGGCCATCTGTGCCCCCTCAGGAGGCCAACATGGGGCCAACATCTCAGTAAAATCAATGAGTTTGGCTTCCTCGCCGAGGCCGTTTTGGACGCTCTGACCGCTCGCGGCCCCCCCCGTCCAGGTCCACGGCGAGGGGGTAGGGGGAGGGGTAAACCCCTCCCCGAAGTGAAAGAGGGAGGGGTGGAAGAGGAAACGCCTTAAACCACCGACGCCCAGAGGGCTGGCGGGATTGCCTCGATCAGGGAAGTGGACAGCACACAGAGGAAGCCAGTATGAGACATCTTGGGATTTCTTGAGCCATCTTGGAGGTCATGTTGGGCTCTCCGAGGCGCTCTTGGAGTCATCTTAATCAGTGCCCCCCCCCAAGAGGCCAACATGTGGCTAAAACCTTAGTGCAAACAATGGTTTGACATTATCGCCGAGGCCTCTGGGAGCACCTTGGGTGCCTCTGGGGGGTCTCTTGGGGCCTCTTGGGGGTCTCTTGGGGGCCTCCTGGGGGCCTCTTGGGGGGCCTCTTGGGGCCATCTTGGGGCCATCTGCGGCCTCTTGGGGCATCCTGGGGGCCTCTTGCGGCCATCGTGGAGGAAATCGATAAAAGAAGAGGGGAGCGTTAATTAGCGTTGCCCCCTCAGAAGGCCAAAATGGGGCCCGAACTATAGTAAATCAATGATTTTGGCTTCCTCGCCGAGGCCGTTTTGGACGCTCTGACCGTTCCCCGCCCCTCCTGTCCAGGTCAGTGGGGAGGGGGTAGGGGGAGGGGTAAACCCCTCCCCGAAGGGGAAGAGGGAGGGGTGGAAGAGGAAACGCCCTAAACCACCGACGCCCAGAGGGCTGGTGGGATATGCTCTCGCCTTAGCGCGGCGCACATTCGTTTGAACAAATTGCAAGAGCTTCACGGATTGAGGGAGGGTCGTTTTCAAACTGTGGTTGTCGCCTTAGCGCGGCACACAACCGTTTGAATAGTTGCAAGAGTTTGGCTGGTTGAGGGCGGGTGGTTTTCAAAAAGTGGCTCTCGCTTTGGCGCGGCGCACATTCATTTGGAAGAAGTGCAAGGGCTTCGCGGATTGAGGGCGGGTCGTTTTCAAAATGTGGTTCTCGCTTTAGCGCGGCGCACATTCGCTTTCAAAGTGTGCAAGGGCTTCACGGATTGAGGGCGGGTCGTTTTCAGAATGTGGCTCTCGCTTTAGCGCCGCGCACATTCGTCCTAAAGAGGTGCAAGCATTTCACGGACTCCCTTCGTCAACGTGCCAGAACTTGTGTTTGAGAACGGGTTCAGGGCTATGCGGGCGCAACAGTTACGTTGGTTCTCTGTGCTGAAGTCCCAGGAATGGCGTTCTGGCACGACGCAGGGGCGTCAAGACGCAACGGTCAGGTTGATCCGTGGCGTTGGGATCCCGAGAACAATGTGCTGACATGTTTCAGAGTCTTCCAACGGGTGTCTTCCAACGAGGCAGTTCCACTAATGGAAGCGAACGTTTGTAAGGGGCCTACGAAGAGGCAGCTTGGAGGGAGGGTGTACTCCAACATCGTTGATGACTCTTGGGTTTGCACTGGTCCTCGTCCTCCTCCTCCTCCTCCTCCTCCTCCTCCTCCTCCGCCCTCGTGTGTCATCCCCCCCGAGCGGAGGCGCCCCGCGACGGCTCGGGCCTGAAGGTGGAGATAGGCGGCAAAATCTACAGCGCGACGGTGGTCGCCTCCGAGTTCGACGCCTTCCAGACGCCCAGCCCCACCCCACGGGCGGACGACGACCGCAGCGAGGCGCCAGGAGGGGGGGCGTAAAGCGGCCTTGGCCCTGGGCGGGTGCAGCGGCGCGGTGGCGGGTTCAGCGACAGCTTGCCTCGTCTATCGGCGGCGAGCCCCAGGGAAACGAGGAGGAGGGGGACGGGGAGGAGAAGGAGGAGGAGGAGGAGAAGGAGGAGGAGGAGGAGGGGGAGGAGCAGAGGGAGGAGGAGGAGCAGGAGGAGGAGGCGTAGGCGAAGGAGGAGGAGGAGGCGGAGGAGGAGGTGGAGGAGGTGGAGGAGGAGGAGGAGGAGGAGGAGGAGGATGGAGGAGGAGGATGGAGGAGGAGGAGGAGGACGAGGAGGAGGAAGAGGAGGAGGAGGAGGACAGAGGAAGAGGAGCAGGAGGAGGAGGAGGAGAAGAACGAGGAGAGGAGGAGGAGGAGGATAGAGGAGGAGGAGGAGGAGGAGGAGGAGGAGGAGGATAGAGGATGAGGAGGAGGAGGACGCTTACATGGCGAATGAGGGAGGCTAAGGGTTGGTCGACCCGACCCTAACCCAAAACCTCGTGGCACAGAGTCACCTCATGGATCGAGTCGCAACGAGATCGGCTCGCAGCGACGACCGGGATGCACCGTGGCACCGCGATCTCTTCCGTGAGAAATCCGACGACTTTCTGAGGCCATCACGACGCTCCATTCGACCAGGCAAGCATCAGCGACTGGCTCGTTTTCCTGATCGCACAACTCTATTCGATTGCAGCCTGCGACCTTCACACAGGCAGCAAACATTCATTCCGACGACCCTCAGGGGGCCTGTCAAACAGACACTTCACAGCACAGAGCATCACCGAACGCATCAACTGCAAGGCGCCTCCATAACTTATGCCTGAAATTGTTGAATTTATTCTTGCAAAGCGACCTCGCACAGAAAGGTGCACAATCTACTCTGACTGACATTTTGAAGTTAGCCTCGACTCTTACTTCTCTGGCTCCATCTCCTGACAGGAATAGTTGGTACACTTTTTCGAGTTCGGCGTCTTTGTCGCAAGCGCCGGACGGGTCCCAGTTCTCACCGACGAGACAGAGCCAGCGGGGATTCTTCTCCATGGGCTCCTCGACGCACTTGTCGATCGCTTTCTCGGCAGACGGCGGCAAGCTCGGCGCTCCAGGGGGCACCTCCGTGTCGCCATCCTCGCAGTGCACCAGCTCGTACCGTATGCTTCCTTCAAAGAAATTGCCTAACATCTTCGCCTCCCGCACATACTGCTTATCCTCGAAGGTGGTGCTGCACACGAGGGCCGACTGCTCCGTGGCCTCCTCGCCGCACGGGTCGACGACCTCCTTATCGGCGGGCTCAGGAGTCTCGCAGGCGGTGTCGCTCAGCTCCTCGTTGTCGCTGGGCGGGTACATGTCGGGAAACTGCTTGTCGATGCACACCAAGCTCTCGAAGGTGATGTCGCTTAGCCCCTTGTTCTCATTGCTGGGCGGGCCGTCTAGGCTGTCCACACTGGGGGGTGAGATGATCGCGTCCATCTCAGCCATCGTGTGGACAGTGCCCCCGCCATCAGTCGGTGTCTGGATGGCCTCGCTCTCCTCGCATTGGTTGTTCAGCATGGCGAGGCTCAGCTTGTCGATGGGAGCCTGTCTCTCGAAGGTGGTGTCGAACAGCTCCACGCTGTCCGCGTTGGACAAGGCGTCCACGAGGGTGCGGGCGCCGATAAGCTCCTCCATCGTGCTGGCGTCTGCTGCCTCAGCCGCCTGGCTGCGCTCCAGCGTTCCACGGAGCGCCGCAGCCACGACCACCTTCAGGCGATCCTGCGCGACCAGCATGGGAGGCGCCGCAGTGTGAGTGACGGCGGTGTGCTCCTCCATCTCCACGGCGCGCTCCTTCAGAAAGGCGTCCTCGGACTTGACGCCCTCGTGCGGCACTGTGTTGCAGGCCTCCATCGAGACCGACTCCCCGAGGCCCGGCGGGCCGCCGAGCGCCAGAGACTCCGCCAGTTTGCAGCGGGCCCGCTGGATAGGGCGAGCGTGCGTGGCGCGGGTGCGCGCACGCCCGTGCGCGCTGCACGAGGCGCCGAGGCCAGCTGCCTGCAGCTGCAGGGCTTCGTGCGCGAGAGGTCTGACGTGAGCGGCACACGGTGCCGAGCGGAGGCAGGGCCAAGCTCGGGCCAAGACGAGTCCTTGAGCCAGGAGGAGGAGGAGGAGGCAGGAGAGAGGAGGAGGGAGGAGGAGGAGGAGGAGGAGGAGGAGGAGGAGAGATAGAGGTGGAAAGATGAGGCGGACAGAAGATAGAGGAGAAGGCCCGAAGGCGGACGGGTGCAAGCCGAGTCGGAGGAGGAAGGAGGAGGAGGAGGAGGAGGAGGAGGAGGAGGAGGAGAAGGAGGAGCAGGAGTAGGTGGAAAGATGAGGCGGACAGAAGATAGAGGAGAAGGCCCGAAGGCGGACGGGTGCAAGCCGAGTCGGAGAAGGAAGAGGAGGAGGAGGAGGAGGAGGAGGAGGAGGAGGAGGAGCAGGAGTAGGAGGAGGAGAAGGAGGAGGACCGCGGAGGAGGACAGACGATGAGGAGGACAGGGGAGGCGGAGGAGGAGGAGGAGGAGGAGGAGGAGGAGGAGGAGGACGAGGAGCAAGAGGAACACTGAGGAGGAGGAGGAGCAGGAGGAGGAGGAGGAGGAGGAGGAGGAGGAGGAGGAGAGGAGCAGAGGAGGACGAGGAGGAGGAATAATCAGATTCAGAATCTCCAAACTCGGCGGCGCGCCCAGGTGTGAGGGCAGATAGGGCGGCCTTCTGAGAAACCTGAAGACGCAGCTGGCTCTCGGAAGGCTGGAGGTCTTCTGAGAAGACCCGCCGCCTTCTGAGAAGGGCTGCCCCCTGTCTTTCCCCCCCCCCCCAGGCGCGCCGCCGAGTTCCATTCTCCTTCTTCTTTCTGGGGGCACCGCCAGGCGGGAGGTTTGCGGAAGTTTCCGAGTCCCGGTGTGGTCTCCAGCAGTTGTGCCTCGCCGAGGGTGCTCGGGGCTGCCCAGGTTGCCCGGAACGGCCGTCGGAGAGCCGAGGTTTGGCCCGGAAGCGAGACGACGGCGACCATTGAGGCGGGCACGCTGCAGCGGGGGCAGCGACCCACAGTCTTTCCAGCCTCGAACGTATCCCTATCCCCAAGATTGACACGCCCAAAGGCGATGACAATCTTAGGGGTTCGCCCTCGAAGAAAAAAAAAATAAGGGAATCCCTAATATTGGCATCGTGATGAGGAGATGCCCGACATAGTGATAGGGATATGTTCCAGGCTGGTAAATAGTCGCCCAATCATGGCCGGCAGCGCGGCATCGCTCGGACGTGTGTCTGTTCTTTCGTGTGGGACCATGGAGGAGCAGCCTGTCTCATGTGACGGGCAAACAACACACGCACGGAGCCGAAGAGTGCACGGGGAGTGGACGTCCGAGCGATGGCAGGGTACGGGTCAGGTTTTTCCGCCCCGCCCACGATCGCGCGGACATCGCTGTCGGGGGCCCACTGCCGAGCCGTCGGCGACGTGTCGCCGATGCCAGGTCGATGCTTCCCCCTCCTCAGCTGGTCCAGCCCTGCCGCTGCTCCTCAGAGGGCCCAGACCGCCGTCGTCAATTTGTTGTTGTTGTTCCGCGGCGTGTACCCTCACAGGCCTCTTGCTCTTCGCTTTATTCGTCGTTTCGCCCCCTCCTGCTTCGCCCGCGGTGCCGTCCGTGTAGCGCTGGCTCGGCGTAGCGGCCCCTTCCTTTTTCCGCGCGACCTTACGACGCCGCGCAGGTCTCCGCTCGCGGTCGCGACCAAACACAAACCCTCAGAGGTGTGGATCCCTTCCCGGGAATGGCTTCTCCTCCCGAGTCGTGCTCTGAAGGCCCCAGAGGGCCGTGCGAGGGCCCCACAGGGTCCGAAAACGACAGAAGCCGTCCGCCGTGCTTGCTTCACTATTCGAGGGGGTCCGCGGCCATCGAATCTCGCCCCTCGAACAGGATTGGCTTGAATGGCAGCAGAAACGGCAGGCGCGGGTCGTGTTCTTCCCGGGTCGATTTCTAACCGTCCCAGGGCCGAACGAGTGCCCCCCGAAGGCCCCTCGTCTTCTGCCGCCTCCTCGTTCATCGAAAGGGACTGGCTGGATTGCAGCAGTAACAGCGACACAAAACGCGGGCCGTCGGATTGCCGGTGGTACTGATGACGTGAGGTCCCCGATGTGCGTTGCCCCGCTCGGCCTGTGCTGGCCCTCGTTGCCCCGCCTGCGTCGGGTTGGCGGGCTTCGGTGGGCAAGCACACGCTGGCGCTAACGATCCAGTCCTCTCAGATGGGGTCGGGGTGGGTGGGGTCGGCGGGTCGCTCCACATCGACCATGCATCGCAGATGCATCGGCGATGCGGCTCGATGTGGAGCCGATTCTCTCCACGCCGACGTCGCCGATACATCGTCGACGTCGCCGAGGCATCGGTGATGTGTCGACGAGGCGGTGCGGTCCTCCGACGAAATACGGAAAGCCCCCAAACCCACCGCCCACCAGACCACCCCATCCCAACGCGAAGGGCCTAATTTCGGGGGTGGACAGACCTCCTACCCTGACACGTCGATTGGCGAATTGGCCGTTTCCGGTTCGCGAGAGGGCGTCGCGGTCGTCGTTTTTGCGTGTCGAGGTCCGTCGGTTTCGGTCCCAGGCCGTTTTCTCTAAAGGGAGGTTTACTAAAGGGAGGTTTGTCCACCGCCGATAATTTGCACTCCATTCCCAGTGCGGGGGGCGTCAGAGAACATTATGTGAAACCCGTACCCCCCGCCACAACCCGACATTGGAATCTTCGTGTTGGGTTGGGGTGGTCTTGTAGGTAGTCAGGAAACACATGTCTTGAGGATCATCGAGATTTGGGCTGCACTCGGCCTCCGAGGCGGGCTGCCCGGCGGCAGCCGCTCCGAAGGCCACGGGCCCACGCGGGCGCCGGAGGCGTGGGCGGCCTCGGGTCCCCGCACTTGTGGGGCGGCGCGGGCACCCACTGTGGCCCCTTTCGGGTCGGGGATTGCCAGACATGGGCTTTCGAGCGGGATGAGGATTGGGAAATCACCAGGGGTCGTCTTCACGCGGCGGCGCCCAGGACGATGATGAGGAAGGCGGGCTCCAGACCGGGAAACTACGTTTGCATCGGCCCCTTCCCGCCCTCCTCGGGCGGGCGCCTGGACCGTCGACGCGCCAGACGGAGCCGAAGCGAAGCGGAAGCCGAAGATTCGGAAACTATGTTGTGAATCTCCCCCCCCCCCCCCGCATTTTTTATTAACCGTCATTTTTCGTTAGGACCTGGTTGAGTGCTATTCTGGGTTGTTGAGTTTGGATCGGAGCAGATGGGGGCGGAGAATCGCTCGGCATCGCCCACGCAGTGTCGATGCGGCTTGGAGCCAGATTTTCTCCACACCGACGTCGCCGATGCATCGCCGATATCACCGATGCATGGCCCATGCGGCGTGTTTTTCCCTACCTAGGCTCTGCCTAGAAGGGTTCTTACTCTATGAGCTTAAAGGGCCGGGCAGTGTAACCAGCCCAGGGCGGTTCCCCCGGCATCCGCCCCGCGGTTCCCCCAGTTGCGCCCCCTGGGTTCACCCAGCTTAGCTTCACTAAGCTTAGCTTAGCTTAGCTTAGCTTAGCTTAGCTTAGCTTAGCTTAGCTTAGCTTATCTCATCTTAGCTTAGATTAGCTTAGCTTAGCTTAGCGTATCTCGTCTTAGCTAAGCTTAGTTTAGCTTGGCTTGGCTTGGCTTGGCTTAGCTTACCTTAGCTTAACCTAGCCTAGCTTAGTTTAGCTTGGCTTAGCTTAGCATAGCTTACCTTATCTTAGCGCAGTGCAGCGCAGCGCAGCATAGCGCAGCGCAGCATTAGCACAGCATAGCATAGCATAGCCAAGCATAGCACAGCACAGCATATCATAGCTCAGCATAGCCTAGCATAACATGACATAACACATCATAGCATAGCATAGCGCAACATAGCATAACATAGCATTGCATAGCATTGCTTATCATAGCACAGCGCAGCATAGCATAGCATAGCATAGCATATCATAGCATTGCGCAGTATATCATATCATAGCATAGCATATCATAGCATAGCGTAGATGTATATGTAGATGCAGGTGTACATGTATAGATGCAGATGCAGGTTTAGACGCAGACAGCATAGCATAGCGTAGATATACATGTAGCTGTCGGTGTAGATGTAGATGTTGCTGTCCTAAATGATCCAACTCCTAGGTAGGGTCGCACTGGGATAATTCTTGTCTTGGTCCCCATATGCCTCGACCCCATCTGGGAAGCCTCTCTGGATATGTAGCGGGGGGCGGCCCCCAAGCCACAGCCCGAGAGCATCGCCCGACTGCCTGCTGGCCAATTTCACCTCTTCCGCCCCAATCCGCCCCACTTGAGGGCTTAGCAGCCCTGATACGCCCGTGTTGAAACGCAACACGTGCCGTGTTCAAAACATCTGTTAGCACGCTGCGTGCTGGCTCGGCGCGTGCTGGTCCACGTTTTGGCGAACGTACCAAGTCCGACATACATGTTCAATCTACGTGGTGAGTTCCGTGTCAACACGCTACGTGTTGCGTGTGGCGTATTCGGGCTGGCTAAGTTCTTGGGATGTGTTGGCGGAGCCAGACAGTCAATGGCCTGACAAGAAATCAAGGTGGATGTCTTTCGCATGGTTCTTTCCGCCTCTGGGGGCCCGTGCCAGGCCCCCGGGGACCCTTGAGACGGGGGTCCATGCAAATGTGTGTCAGCCAGAGCGCCGCATCCTGCAGCAGGATCCTGCAGAGCCAGGGGTGCACTGACCCGGGCCTGCGTGCAGGACCCCGCAGGATCCTGCTGGACCTTCCAGGATTCTGCAGAGCCCGACTGGCCCGGGTTTGCGTTTACCTGGGCCGGTGCCTCCCCGATCCAGGACGGTGAGTTGGCAGA